GCTTTTGTTTCTTCTTCTAGCTTTTCTTACCTAAGGATATGCCCTAAACCTGGAACAAAATATCCACCGCTTGAAAAGTCTGAACTGTTTTGAATGAGCTAGTTTAGGTAGGACATGGCTTGTGCGTTGCCCTTCCCTACCAATTACATGGCCTGTATGCCAGTCTGTGCATTCTCTTGTCTTCTCTTCTAGTTTCCTTGCTGTCACAGGTGGTCACAGCAGTATGGAACAAGCTGCAATATTCGTGCAATATATCCCACTCACTTGTCCTCACACCATCTTGTTTCCCCTCATCCACAGCTGCTACCACGGGGATCCATCCTTGCCAAGGAATCCTCCAGCCTGGAAACACCCCCTCCAAATTTTGGTTCAGATCTGGAACATGCACAAACTCTAACATGTGTATTTTAGTCCTGGCATAGACTGCCACTGACTCTCCTCTGCAGAGTACGGTTCAGTCATGGAAGACTTTCCTATCTCTTCTTCTGCTTATTATTTTAATGCCTTTAAGCACTTTTATAATCTGTTTAGAGTACTTGAGTTTTGGAGGAATTATTAATGCATAACGGACACTACCTAAACACTAAATGCACATGTGACACACAGGACGGACATGCAGACATTCCACATCAAATGAAGTCATGCTTTCGACGTCTGCCCAGGTCAGCGATGGGACCTATAAAAGTCATTTTTCTTTCTCTTTTCATCAGATTGGAGTAAACGTTTTAGAGTTCACAGGATAACAGATTTTGGGTTTATGACTCAGCTTTGGGAGTTCAGCTATTGGGAAAGATGAATTTGGAGATGGGAAAAAAATCCGTGGCTTTTAATTTTTTTGAATCCACTTTGTAAGTTTAAGATTTTAGCCTATTTTAATCCGCCTAATTCTAGGAATATATTAGTGTTCAAGAACCCAAGTTGCCTGTCTTCTCATCTTTTTTCTTTGGCATCGAAAACTTCCACAAATGGCTTCTGGAACATAGAACAGTCCAGCTTAAAACGACCTCCTCGGTCTACATTTTGTTTCCATACCTGGGTTTCCCAAGTCTGGATACACCCATTTAAATTCTGCTCTCCAATGTGTAGTACATTATTAAAAGAAGACATTAAAAACAATATATTGCTAGTGGCAAAAAACGTTGAGAGGTTAATGCTTCATTTCCAAGTACTGTTGTTGAAGCATGGCAAGTAATCTCATAAAAGTTAAAAGAGAATACTACAGTTTTTTTAGGTTTCAGATCTTTGCAATACAGACAGTACTCTTCATCATTCTGTCGAAGCTGCCTCTAAATCTGTTTTGTTCCTAAGTCCAAATGAGCATATGTATATGATGCACTGCAAATTAACCTGTAAATTATCTAACAATGAAATTCAATGAAGGGATAAGTAAGGTTTTACACTTTGAAAAGAAAAACTGAATATACTGGTACAGATTAGTTGAAACTTGGCTCAGTAGTGGTAACTGAGAGGGGGATCTTGGAGTCCAAGTGGACAATCACTTAAATATGAGCCAGCAGTGTGTGGCAGCAGCAGCCCCCCCCCCCCCCCCCCCCCCCCCCCCCCCCCCCCAGAAAAGCCAATGCAATTCTAGGTTGCATTAACAGAGGGATAGAATCAAGATCACATGAAGTATTAGTACCATTTTATAAAGCCTTAGTAAAACCACACTTGGAATACTTGCATCCAATTTTGATGGGTCACAATATAAAAAGGATGTTGAGACTCTGGAAAGAGTGCAGAGCAGAGCAACAGGGATGATTAGGAGACTAGAGACTTAAACAGTTGCAGGAACTGGGATTGTCTAGTGAAAAGAAGGACTAGGGGGGACGTGATAGCAGCGTTCCAGTATTTGAGGGGCTGCCTCAAAGAAGAGGGAGGTCAATTTATTCTCCGAAGCATTTGAGGGCCAGACAAGAAGCATTGGATGGAAACTCATCAGGGAGAGAAGCAACCTAGAACTAAGGAGAAATTTCCTGACAGTGAGGAGAATTAACTGGTGGAAAGGCTTGCCTTCAAAAGTTGAAGGTGGTCCATCACGGGAGACTTTTAAGAAGAGATTAGACAACTATTTATCTGAAATGAGCAAGGGCTTAGACTAAAAGGTCTTCCAACTCTTTATTCTGTTAAACCTCCCAACTTGTGGACAGGTTTGTTCGTATTGGTAAAAGTGTAATTTGAAAATTTATATGTGGAATTACGTCTATTTGATTTTGATTCGAGTGCTGTATTTTTGCTTGCGTGTATTAGAACAGATAGTGTAACCTTCCATACATTTTAGTTTTTGATAACAGTACTTTGTGATGACTTTTCGTGTATGCTGTCGTCTCGTTTTTTGTTTTGTTTTTAAGACAGTAATTGACAATGAAGAATTTTTACTAAATCCCTAAGGCCTTCTTAAACATGAAGGATAGTAATCATTGGTTATCTGTAAGATCTTTCTCCAGATAATAAATAAGGAGTTTGTTTACTGACCGCGCAAAGTTACAACAGCACTGAAAAACAATAACATGACTTCTTCACACTTGGGACTATTGCAGTGTCCCCGTGGTCACATGATCAAAATTCAGCTGCTCGGCAACAGACCGACATCTATGGTGGTTGCATAAGATCCCTTTTGCTATCTTCTGTCCAGCAAAGTCAGTGGGGAAGTCAGATTCATCTAATAACTCGTTACTGACTTAAGAATTGCAGTGATTCATTTAACAACTGTGGCAAGGAAGGATGAAAAATGGGGCACTTGACAGAAATGTTGGGCTCAATTGCGATAAATTGAGGAGTATCTGTATTATCAGGCAGATAATCCATATTGGACATGCAATAACATGCTTTGGGCTGACAAGAATTGTGCCATAGTGGAACCTAAGTCTGATGGTTCCACTATGGCAACCTCAAATCACAAGTGTGGTTTGAGGTTGCCATAGCTCTGCCACTTCTAAATCCAACTTTCCCAGGACCTTTTTAGTAAAGTACCAAACGCAGAATATAGCTCAGCATAGCAGTGTCTGAGCTTAAGTGGATATCTACTCCTGAAAGCTCAGGAGACACAGTTGTGTTCCTGAGAAATGTAGTCTTGGGTTAGGCCAATGTTTCTCAACCATAGCAGCTTGAAGATGTGTGAACTTCAACTCCCAGAATTCCCTAGTCAGAGCTGCCTGGAGAATTATGGGAGTTGAAGTTCATACATTTTCAAACTGCCAAGGTTGAGAAACACTGGGTTAGTCTTAATTTAACCTGATGCTTAGCATCCTCTTCTTCACACTCAGTGGAAACAGTTATTTTACAAACTCTATAAGAAAACTAGTGTCAGCTTCAGCCAGTGTGATAACCTTAGTATTTGTCTCACCCACACTAAGATCTCCTTGCATGATTAAATGGAGTTAGTTTAGCCACAGAACTATTGCTGCCAAATTGCTCTTGACTTCATTTGACCTGTCTGCCTTTGACCCCAAATCATAGTTGAGATTATCTGCTCAAACAATTATTCATCACGTATTATTACTAGCCACCTCTTCGGATGTGTGAGGTTCAGTGCTTTAGAATGAAAACTTATCCGGCTGTGCATGGATGCTATATAGCGTGCAAGCTGGTGGCAGATGTCCATTTGGATTCTCTTCATTTGTGCAATGAGAGAAATATAAAACACATGTACTTTATCTGTAGTGGAATAGGTGGTGGTGGTGAGGTTAATGTTTGGGTTGAAATCTATTTACAGTAGATTGTTTTTCCTGAATGAGTGATAAAAGTAAGTGCACAATTTATGCTAAAGATAATATACGAGAAGATCTAGATAATTTAAGTCTCCAAGGGAGATGGACAACTAAAAAATATAAAATATAAATACTTCGTTGAATCAGGTGAAGCAGACATATCATCTTCCACCATATCGGATGATTGATCACCCATGAAGTCTGATGCTTTAAATCATGTTGCCACTAATGGCTTCTTGACAAGGCATGCCATGTTCTACTTTAAAAGAAGTGCTTTGCAGCTAATTCATAGCTTGGGATATAGAAGAGACAGCAGGATGATAGCTAAAAAGGTACCGTTGATGTTCCCAGAGTTTATTGCCTTTCCTCCTGCTGGTATTTTCATTGCAGTGGATTGTAGCTAGGTAGCACTAGCTTTCAGCTTCAGGCTTGAAGTACTTGCCCATCCTTGGGTGTATAGCATGCTGCATTTGTGTGTGTGTGTGTGTGTGTGTGTGTGTGTGTGTGTGTGTGTGTGTGCTTTTGCATGGTCTGGTGCAGGGGTGTCAAACTCGTGGGCCGGATGCATCACATGCTAGCCCTCCCCCTGCTCAGTTTAAGTGAAGGAGGAAAAAGCTCCAATACATCACGTGACGACTCGAGTTTGACACCCGATGTCTGGTGGGTTCTCTTGAATGCAGCACCACTGATTCTGGACTTAGATTTTGGAGGAGACAATTCCTCCTGGTGCTGTAAACATGTTGGCCTGTTCACAGAAGGATGTGATCTTACATTGGTGTCAGGGAGAAGCTTGCGCCCAGACCTGGGCCCCAGCTATACCCTGGTCTGTCACAGTGCCAGCTGGTGCCTCTATTCTGCCAGGCAGGCCCAGCCTGTTCTTAGAATCAGGCTGTCTAGTTGCAGAAACCTTCCTCCTCCCCCCACCCCCCTAGGAGGATTAGAAAATATTTTCAGCTTTTCCTGATTTTTGAAATGGCTACCCAGTTTTGGGCATTTTTACACTGTTTAAACAGACATTAAAACTTTACTGGTAACAGTTAACAAAGTAAAAAACAGAAGAGTCAAATAATACATCAATATTATAATGGGTAATCTACTTGTGGACAGGTGTGCTCTTTTGAACCACAATTTGATTCCAGCAGCCTGTATGACATTCTGTAGTTTTTCTGTGTTCCTGCAGAGTGGCAATATATGTGTACATTCTCAACTGAAGTTTAGCTATATGGAGTAAGGAGTTAAACACCCCCCTCCCCAAAATTAGCTGATCAATTTTTTTTTATTTTTACTTTTTAGAAATATTTTCTACTTTTATCAACATGGAAAGCTCAGAGGCTAATAATAAAGGAAATGTCAATCAGTCGGAAGCTCAGCGCCGGAGTCAGCTGGACCGGTTGGACCGAGAAGAAGCTTTCTATCACTTTGTAAATAACCTGAGTGAAGAAGACTACAGGCTGATGAGAGATAACAACTTACTAGGCACTCCTGGTACGCCGCTTTCTTAGGTTGCCATTCAGACAGTAAGAATCTTGCTGTTCTGCTATTAACGCCCAGCAGTCATTTCATTTCAGTGGCTCCTGATAGTTGTCATAGAATCATAGATCTGGAAGGGACCTTGAATCCTGGAGACCTGGCAAATGGCTCTCTAACCTTTTCTTGAAAACCTGAGTTCTGGATGACCCAGCTCTTTCATCAATTGTTCTCACTCAGGAAGCTTCTCCTAAGTTCCAGGTTGGGTCTCTATTTAATGAGCTTCTACGCATTGCTTCGTGCCCAGCCCTCAAGTGCTTTGGAGCATAAGGGCTTACACCCGTGTTTTGCATTAATTATGCTAATACATACAGGATCCCAGGTGCCTACAATATGGACTTCACAGAGATCTTAATCTCCGTAATAAATACAACTACAGAATACAGATCTCCATTCCTCTCTTAAAAACCACACAGGAAATCTTTTATTCTTTCCCACTATCAGAAGAAATTGCTGTAATTGTTTTACAATTGGTCACTACCCAACATTTGTTTGAATTGGGCAGAATAGAGATAGATAGATAGATAGATAGATAGATAGATAGATAGATAGATAGATAGATAGATAGATAGATAGACAGACAGACAGACAGACAGACAGACAGACAGACAGACATGTTATTCAGCTTTGTTCAGGTATTTTCCCACGTCATTATAGTTGTGCTTTTAAAGTTGTAGCGACGTTTCGGCAGAAAATACAACTAACTTTTAAAGCTACAACTTTAAAAGCACAACTATAATGACGTGGGAAAATACCTGAACAAAGCTGAATACCATACATATAAATACCCGCAAAAACTTAAGAAAAAAAATGCACACACACACACACACACACACACACAATCATCTTGAAGAAAAATTGCAGTATCAAAGCAAAGTTTATAGAATGATTATCTTGAAAGAAAATCCTGTAGCGATGCTAAGATGTTCGCTCTCTTAGTTAACAGATGAAGAATCTATTGATGGTCCAAATCTTTCCATGGTGACACATTTGGTAAAGACTTTGCTTGCTAATATAATAAATAAGCTACTTCCAGGAGCAATGGTATCTAGAATTTCTTACCCAATAAACTTACATTTGACATTCCCACATGTTATAATAGATAACGATACAGTGGGCATCAGTAGCAAGTACTGGTCAGCAATCTGATTTTGATCATGGGGATAGCTTTATATTTTATAATGTTAAAGCTGTATTTTGTTTATTGAGCAAAATGTTCCTCAGCAGCTGAACTAAGATCATTTCCTTTCTTTTTGCTATTTTGACCTCTGTAGATTTCATTCAATATTTTTCATGCTCTTTCATACAGATCTCCCTTAAAAAATCATTTTGTTTGTTTTATAAACTACTGTCCGTTCATTTTCTTGAAGATGAGCTTTGCAGTTGTAATTTCTTGCCCTTCTGTTCTTCATTGTACATGCAGTGCTAAGCAGAATGCTTTGCTCTGTTCTTTTCCCAGGCAGAAGTAGGCAAGCCAAATTTCTGCCTTCTAGAGTGCCTTCTCCCACTGTCTCTCTCTCTCCCATGTTCTTTTTATTTTCTCTTCTTCAGCCCTATATGGTAACTGTTCAGTGTAGGGGGGTCGGGAATATTGCCATATTGCCAAAATACAACCCCAATGTTAGAGAAAAATTAATAGTAATCTTGGTAAACCGATCTCTGCTTTGGTTCCCCTAGTGTTGGCTGCACATGAGTGTGAATGACTTTCTCAGGAACACCTGCCCATTGTTTCCTCAGGTGAAATTACGGAAGAAGAGCTGCTAAGAAGGCTGCAGCAAATTAAGGAAGGTCCACCCCAGCAGCACACTGAAGACAGCAGAGGTACGCACTGTTCTACTAACGTTTCTATGGTAGTAGTCAGATTGCGCACCAAACGACTTACAAAAGAAGCGATTTGAATTTAGCCCTCGTGCTCCTGGGGCTAGGTCCCGTTGGGCCCCTGGCTTCCATTGTGGTGCAGTTTCTAGAGCTTATATATTCATCTCCTTTGTTCCTGGCCTAAGAGAGGTGGTGAGCACTCTGACTGTGCTGTGAGCTTATTCAAAGCAGGCCTGCTTCACCCATGGTACCCGCACGTGCCTATCTGACATCTTGTCTGAACCAGCGTGGTTCAAATCTCTTTGGCCAAGTGTTCAGCCTTGATGTATTAATATTAGGATATAGTAGTTAGGATGAAACTAGATGCTAGGCTTATGCAATATTGCATGGATAAACTATTGCCTGGCCAATCATTGGGTTGCAACCCTCCCATAAAGGGAATGGAATTCACAGCAAGTATCACAGGGCATTATAGTATTTCCTGACCTTTATAAAACCGTCACCTTGACTGATTTGCTGAGGTGTTCAATACTGGACAAATAATTATTTGATGGCAAGTCTATTAATGGTGGTGAAACTAACCTATCCCACAGTCCTTGCTGTGATTAATTTAGGAAGATATGGTGAGTTAAGCATTTGTGGTGCCCAAAAGTTGGAAGAACAAATATTTGCACTGTGGCCAAGGGACCTTATTTATAAGACCATAACTTGTAAAAGGTTTGGGGAAAGTTTTTAGCTCAGAATCAGACCAGCCGCCTAACGCTAGCAGTTACTTTTATTTGCAGGTGCAGAGTCCGCAGAGGATGTGTCTAATGGTGACTCCATCATAGATTGGCTTAATTCGGTTCGGCAGACTGGAAATACGACACGAAGTGGGCAGAGAGGCAACCAGTCGTGGAGAGCAGTAAGCCGGACTAATCCAAACAGCGGGGATTTCAGATTTAGTTTGGAGATAAATGTCAACCGCAATAATGGGAACCCAAGTACTGAAGCGGAGGGCGAGCCACCCGTAGAAGCCCCCACTGGGGAGGATCTAGAAAACAGCCCGAGTGACACTGAGACTTCAAGGTCAGCCTCTCCCCCGGTTCTAAGGCAGAGCTCCTCTCCTCCCGTAGCCAGGCAGCCTGACTCAGACATGAGCTATCCTGAAGACCTGAGCGAAGACCTCTCTCTTCAGAGAGGCCAGAGGAGGTCAAGAAGCAGGAGTCCCGAACAACGGAGGACACGGGCAAGGACTGATAGAAGTAGATCCCCCCTTAATCCAGTGAGCGAACCTCCTCGCAGGATACATCACAATACGTCCTCTCAAACCCCTGATCTTCCCTTGGTCGCTGAGGCAGAAGGAAGTTCCAGAACCAGGCAGCACATGGTCATCCGTCAGCATGCAGCAGCCAGTGCCGAGGCGCCCACTGAAAATACGGTTCTCTTTTCCACCTCCGAGGCCAGGCCTGCCCCTCAGGCCGTGAGCTCTTCGGAAACGGGCGGCAGTGCGGAGCCCCCGGCCCCCGGGCAGAGGCCCCCCACCATCGTGCTGGACTTGCAAGTGAGACGGGTCCGTCCGGGAGAGTACAGGCAGAGAGATAGCATAGCCAACCGAACTCGGTCCAGGTCCCAGACCCCAAACAACACGGTCACTTACGAAAGCGAGCGAGGAGGTTTCAGGCGTACCTTTTCACGCTCGGAAAGGGCAGGTGTGAGAACTTATGTCAGCACCATTAGGATTCCTATCCGCAGGATCCTGAACACGGGCCTGAGCGAGACCACCTCGGTTGCCATTCAGACCATGTTAAGGCAAATCATGACTGGCTTTGGCGAGCTCAGTTACTTCATGTACAGCGATAGCGACGCCGATCCCGGGGGCTCGGCACCCGCCCCAAGCGTAGAGACGGTGGAGCCCCAGGCTGGAGGGGGCAGCGGGAACGGCCATGCCAGCCCCGAGGGTCCTGAGCCTGGGTCGGGAGAGGCCTATGAAGGTAGCCATGAAGGGGGTCCCACGGCCGGCCCGAGGCGGGAAGGGCAGAATGCCAGGGGCTCCGTTACTTTTGAAGAAAGCGGCTCCTTGCCATTCCTCAGCTTGGCCCAGTTTTTCCTGCTCAATGAAGAAGACGACGACCAGCCCAGAGGACTCACCAAAGAACAAATTGACAACCTCGCCATGAGGAATTTTGGCGAAAGCGATGCCCTGAAAACCTGTAGTGTTTGCATCACCGAGTACACCGAGGGGAATAAGCTTAGAAAACTCCCTTGCTCCCACGAGTATCACGTGCACTGCATAGATCGCTGGCTATCCGAAAATTCCACTTGCCCAATTTGCCGCCGAGCCGTCCTGGCCTCAGCTAACCGGGAGAGCGTTGTCTAAGGCACCGTGGTATCCTTTCGGCTGATTACATGGTGAGGGAGCGATGGGCAGGACGCTGCTTGCAACAGCCACTTTTTGTGTGGTGGTTATAAATACAAAACAAAGAATAGTGTGATTTCCTCTTACGAAATGGAATTTCTTTTTTCTTTAAAAAAAAAAAAGCAAAGCAAAGCAAAACCTTCTCAATTAGGGTTCCTAAAATAAGACCAGGTTTGTGTTGTCAATTAAAAAAAAAGGAAAGAGATATATTTGCCCAAAGACAATTGGTTGTTGTATAGTTTCAGTTTTTCAACACCAATCAAGTTCTCGGTCCCTCCTGACCCCTCCAGTGTGTGTTGAATGCTGGAGGCCTCAACTAACTGGAGTCATTTAGCCGTATACAGCCTGTGCTTCACTGTGGATTAAAGCGAAACGACTCCGCTCCCCTGGCAGAACAGTAAAATTAATCTCCCACGTCTGATTTTAGCTCCTTTCTTGTATAGGGTATTGAATATGGTCATGTAAATAACACTAACCTCAGTCCCTCTCTCCCACTGTACAGCTGTCTTAAAAGTCCAACACTATGGCACGCCATAGGATGACCTGATAGTTTAACTGGGATATTTATCTTGCTGTGGAAATAATTAATTGCTTATGCTTGTTTAAATAAACACTTTTGTTTTAAAAACAGTAAAATCTTTTTGTACAGGTCAGTGACTTTTCCACTGCGCTTTTGTGCAAACATGTTCAGAATTTAACCCTCCACTGTGTTTAGCCACAAGAGCACATGGTGCGGTCCTCCACCTTGGGGCAAACCTCATGGCAAAGAGCCCAGCTTTCATCAGTATTTCATTATTATTATTATTATTATTATTATTATTATTATTAGAAAGTAAACATTGGGAATTAAGATAACTGAGACGAGTGAGACCTCTGCGGCCTCTGAGGCATGAGATGCCTGCGTAGCTTGGAGGCAGAGCTCTTTCTGGGAAGGTGAAAGATGGCACGTTTGCTGCTGCAACAGCGGCTTCCCTCACCTGAGCTTTCCCAGTACAAATTTTCACAACGAACACATTATGTGTAAAGTCAGTTGGCCAGGTTGTGTGGCAGCTTGCATTTGCACAGCATACTCGAGCAAAATGTGATTGCTGGCTGCTTCATGGCTCTGTGTGTTGGGCAAATTCAAATCGGTGTGGTTAGCTGAGGACTCCGTACATTGTTAAGCAATGTAAATTGAATCGAATGGGATACCCATGGTTCAGTTGGCCAGTGCAAGTTGCTGGGCCTTCTGTGGTCCCGGCTTTGCAAAGGTAGCTGGTTGCGTTGCTTTGGCACTGTGAAATCTACTTCATTATCCATCTTCCTCTGAACACAGCAGGTACTTTCTTTGTGCACCATATTTCTAACCACTGTGCATCAGGCATTTGTGGCTTTCAGCAAAACTTCTTTCTAGTGACTTGTATAGTTTTCATTGGGATGTTTAAAAAGTTGTTATCTCTGAAAGTTTAATTCCTTGCTTGGAAGTGGAAGAGAAGCTCTTTGAATAAAACCTATTGGGGGGTTTTCCCCCCCTCACAAGCAAATGGTTCATCAAATTAAATCTTACAAATTCATCAATTAGTCTTAAAGCAACTGCTTGGAAACACATCAGATTGTTTCTTCTATGCTGTATATATCCTAGGAATAATTTTTATTGAGTAAATAAATTGTGCTTTTGCTTATAGATTTTGCAACCGTTTTTATCTTCCATTAATGATATATGAAGAGATGATTTTTCATCGGATATTTTAAAAAAATACACGACGCACTTTTCTGCTGTGCCTAGTTAAGAATTGCAGCACGTTTTCTCCCCCTCCTATTGCCTCAAAAAAATTTGGATTGTAATTAACATCAGTGTTGTTTCTGCTTCTCAAATGAATATCTTACAAAGCATTTTAAGTATTGTTTTTTTTAATTAAACGTGCAATTAAATAATTGCAAACCCATTGGGACATTTAATTTTAAACTTTGACAGTAATAACTGGAAGTAAACCTGTAGGACATTGAGAAATGTGATCTATTTATTTCAAAACTTGCACTGAACACGGGATCTCTGCTGTTGCTTTAGTTACACCCTAATTGGATTCTTGAAGATTCAGTGAAGGTCATGATTTGGTTCCCTTTTTTTCTTGGCATAAAGATGAGCCAATTTTTGCTCCTTGTTTGCGTGAGATGGCAACAATCGCCTCAGATTATTCAAAGGCTGTAAATTTGATTTCTGCATCCCCTGTTCCCAACGGGAAAAGGATCATACTAGGAAAGCTTTCCATAGTTTCGACTTTTGTTCTTTCTGGCTCCATTCTAATAAAAGTAGACATGGAAGTTCAGGCTGATTTTAGGAACTCTGAAGAAGAGAATATTGGTAGCTTGGGTTGAACGTTAGAGTCCTTGGTGTTCTCTGAGCTGGGTGGTTTTCCTGCAGACATTTCATGACCCAACTAGTAACATTATCGATGCTAGAAGGGAGTGGGGTTTGCACTCTGTTTATGTACACGTGAGTATGAACAATTACAACTAGATACCATTGTATATAAACAGAGACCAAACTCCACTTCTTTCTAGCACTGATGGTGATTAGGAACTTGGCCTGCATCAGTGTAATTCTCTTGGTTTTGGTTGCCTTACCATTTTCTTAAAAGCTCTGTTGTACAGACGAGGTCTCTTCTCACACTGAAAAGCCCAAACATTGGTATTATCCTTTTCTGCTGGTCTTTGTAGCAACCTATCCAGTGACCTGTTTGACCATTTTCCAATAGGGCAGCCCCTGAAATGGGTTGGGACTGCAACTCCCAGAATTCCCAGCAACAGTCCCAATCCTGCGGAACACCTCCCGGGAGAGGCTGCCTTGGGGCCACAAAGGTCTTTATCAAAATTCTTACAACACATTAAGCAATGGTTAAAGTAACGGGCTGTGTTTGCATACAGGGGTCTCCAAACCGTGCAACTTTTAAGACTTGTGGGTTTCAATTCCCAGAATTTTTCAATCAGCCATGTTGGTCTAAATGGTGTTTGACAAACCACAGGGGGTGGATGTGCAGAGCCCGCAAAATGAAAACTCAAAACATGCGCTCTTTGTGACGTCTGGGTTCATCAGACTCCGTTTTCACAATTCAAAGTCCTGGGTAAGTCACCTTTAACAACTTTACGGAAACCCACGGTGGTGGTGGGATGGTCACTAACTCCTAGGATGTTTTTCTAACGACTTGATGTAATGTACAGTCCTCAGGATTCCAAAGGTGTTCTCTACCAAGCCTCAAACAGGTCTCTAAGGCCAGCTGAAATCAAAGGGGGGGGACACTTTTGCCACAACCCCAGGGAGCAAAAGAAAAGAAGACGCCCAAGGCTTTTGACTTTTCCTCCCTCTGGTATTTTTATAAGAGTGGCAGCTTTCCATGGATTTGGTGAAAGCTCCTGAACAGGTTTATCGTTAAAAATGGGACCCTCACTCCCTTTTGGGGGTGGGTGGGTGAATTCTTAGAAGCCACCTTGCAGAAAAAGTCTGTCCACAAAATCCTCAGGAGTTTTCCGTGTCCTGACGAAGAGCATAATTCTGCTAGTGCTGTAGATTATTGGGTTCTTACGATCTTTAAGGACATTTGCAGATAAGGACTTCACTGTATATATTCTGTCTGTTGTGAAATTGGGTCACCGTGGTTTTTTAAATCAACATTTTATAGCCTGCAGCTTTCCTCGGTTTGGTCCCTCCGGGATTTCTTTGGGCAGCTGGTTGCGCATTCTTGGACTATGTCAGGTCTGGAAAGACGGGGATGCATGTCATAAAAATAATGGGATGTAGAGCATCTCGAAGCCCATAATTCTTGGGCAGTTTGATCAACATTGATGGTGTAATTACACACATTTTGTGCAATGCTAATAAGTCTTTAATCACAATTCTCATACATGCATCTGTTGGTGCCTGCTTAAGACATTACAACGTGCAGGCAGTCTGTCTTAACAACCACAATTGAGCCCAACATTTCTGTTGCTAAGTGAGACGTTTGTTAAGAGACATTTATTATTGTCCTATTTTACTTTTCTTGACACAATTGTTAAGTGAATCAATTGCAGTTAAGTTAGTAACACAATAAAGTGAATCTGGCTTCCCCATCGATTTTTCTTGTTGGAAGGTTGCAAAAATGGGGATTGCATGACCCTGGAATACTGCAGCGGTCATAAATGTGAAAAATGGTCATAAGTCACTTTTTTCAGTGCTGCTGTAATTTCGAACAGTCACTAAATGAATTATTGTAAGTCAAAGACTACCTGTACAGCCTTTTATGAGAAGAAAAGCAACGTTGGGGTTTCTGTGCCCAGATCAGCCCTATCGACCTTGCCCTCTGGTTGACTGCTGACCAAGTACCCCATCCTTCGATCTCTAAACCAGGTGACAGCCCAGAAGGACAGGTTGAACCAGGTAGTGGGCCTGCTAGCTTGGCAGGTGAGCAGCTGAACCCTGTGTCAATAGCACCTTGTATGCTCCGATGCCAAAGGAGCACCATGCTGTAAACGTCTCTCTTGCTGGGTGGATGTGAGGCATACCTTCATGCATCCCTCAGGTGAATGATGCATCCTTTTAAGATCATCATGTAAGAGTGGAAGAATTTTCTGCAGGTTGTTCTGGGATAGCAGGCGACCCTCTTTGTCACAGAACAGTCCAGACAACACAGAGACAAGCCTGTTGCCTTCCTTGCCAAAATTAAGGGCTTTTAATGGCATCGCTTGGAAGTTTTTTAGTCCAACCCCTCGGACTTGGCTGCCCAATTTCTTAGTTTCCACCCACTGCTTCTTGTCCTGCCTTCAGGTGCTTTGGAGAATAGCTTGAGCCCCCTCTTTTTTTTGTATCAATATTTTGGAGATTGCAATGAAGACACCAGATAAAATCTTACTGGCTGGGGAATTCTGGGAGTTGAAGTCCATCCACATCTCCTCCAGCTGCCGAGGTTGAGAGACGCTGTTCACGGTACCAGGAACGTGTGTTAACTTTAGGCCCCCGTTCTGTATTTGGAAGAAGGCATCGTGTTTACTCCCCAGCACATGAATCTTTGCTCCTTCTAATCGTTCCCTCCTGTCCTCCTCCTCCTCCTCACACCCTCGGCGGGTTGTTTGCCCAGATTTATCTGCCAAGGCCTCTGCTTGCGTTGACACCGGCGAGAGAAGAGGCACAACCCTCCCCACTGCCTGCTGATTGCATTATCCGTCCTTGGAGCACAAATTCAGGCCATCCCTCACTGGGGTCTGAATCGGTTTGTCTGGAGAAACCCTTGGATGATAATCTACAGAACTTACTCTCCTTGTTGCATCGATGCTAACCCCACCTTTTTTTAAAAAAGCATTCCTTATTCCGTGTTCACAATTTCTATCTTATAAACCCAGGGGTCTCCAAACTTGGCAACTTTTAAGACTTGTGGACTTCAAGTCCCAGAATTCTGAGAATTGAAGTCCACAAGTCTTAAAAGTTGCCAAGTTTGGAGACCTCTGTTGTAAATCCTTAACTTCTAAAAACAAGGCTCTTCAACTTGGCAACTTTTAAGACTTGTGGACTTCCAACTCCCAGAATTCCTGAGCTAACTTGACTGGAGGAGGAATTCTGGGAATTGAAGTCCACAAGTCTTAAAGTGCCCAAGTTGGAAGACCCCTGAAGTAAGGGAATTCGATATATTCTGCCTAAAGAAGAGAAAGCTTAGAAGAACCTGATAGCCACCTTCCAAGACTTCAAGGACTTCAAGGGAAGGGGAATAATAGTGGGAAGGCCTTCTGATCCAACCCCCTCCCCAAAGCACCAAAGGGCAGGATAAGAAGCAGTGGAGATCCAAGCTGGAATTAAGGAGAAATTTCCTGACGCTAAGAACAGTGAACCAGTGGAAATCCTTCCTGGAGGTGTGGATGCTTCATCCCTGAAGGTTTTCAAGAAATGATTGGACAGTGCTTGCTCGGAGTTGCATAAGGACTCCTGCCCAGGGGGATTCAAATTTTTTAACAACCGGTTCTGTGGGCGTGGCTTAGGTGGTGGGTGTGGCTTGGTGGTCATGTTATTGGCTGGGCGTGGCCAACTCAATATCACTCACATCGAGGCACGCATCTCCTCGCCTGGCCTCATGACTGTGGGGGTGCTGCAACAGTTGTGAGCGTGAAAAATGGTCATAAGTCACTTTTTTCAGTGCCATTGTAACTTTGAATGGTCACTCCACACAAGCAAAGTACCAGCAAAGGAGGGGAAAAAAATACTCCAGAGAAGTTCCTGAGATAGGAAGTCTAGTCCTGCCAAGAATGTAATAAGGGTTAACGGAGAGGCAGTTTCTGTGAGCAACACCAGAATGTTTCCTTCCTACCTTCCTTACAGGATTAGGCCAGTAATTTATTCCAACAACTGATTCTCCGAACTGCTTAGAATGTTAACAACTGGTTCTAGCAAATAGGTGCGAACTGGCAGAATCCCACCCCTGCTTCTGCCTTGGGCAAGAGTTCGGACTAGGAGGTCTCCAAGGTCCCTTCCAGCCCTATGACTCTATGATCATGATGGGGAACTTATGCACACATGCCGGAAGTGGCACGCAGAGCCATTACTGCCAGCATGCGAGCCCTCACCCAGAGCAGGTCTAGTGCACCTGCCCGACAGCTGATTGTTGGGTACCTGGTGCGGAGGTGTACGAGAGATGCACGTGCATGCGCAGAGATGCATGGT